GAGACCCGCATTGTCCATGCTCGATTGAGAAGGAACGATGCATGAGGCACGAATGGCCGTGGCATAAGCCCTGCTGCCATGGCCGGTGGTGTTGTCACCACCAGCCACACAGGAAGGGCATGGAGCGTTGGGGGAGGGGAGGGTGAAGAGTAAAATAACCACCCTAGGTGACCGCAGAACCAATGTCGTGGAGATCACGGACGTATGGGGACAAGGTTGGCACGTAGTATGGAAGCTGCATTCAAGAGCCTGGCTGCAAGGGCATGGCCATGGGGAAGGCAGGTGCTGGTGGCAAGGTGCAAGAGGGCGGGTGCTGGTGGCATGGTGCAAGAGGGCAGGTGTCGGATGCATGGTGCAAGAGCGCATGTGCTGGTGGCAAGGTGCAAGTGGGCGGGTGCTCGTGACAAGATGCAAGAGGGCATGTGCCGGTGGCAAGGTGCTAGAGGTCAGGAGCTGGCCCCAAGGTACAAGAGGGCAAATGCAAGTGGCAATGTGCAAGAGGGCAGGTGCACGTGGCCAGGTGCAAGAGGGCAGGGTTTAGGGGAAGAGGTGCAGGGGGGCAGGTGCTGGCTCCAAGGTGCAAGAGGGCAGGTGCTGGTGGCAAGGTGCAAGAGGGCAGGTGCTGGTGGCAAGGTTCAAGAGGACATATGGTGGCAAGGTGCAGGAGAGCAGGTGCACGTGGCAAGGTGCAAGGCGGCAGGTGCTGGTGGCGAGGTGCAAGAGGGCAGGTGCTGGTGGCGTGGTGCAAGAGGGCAGGTGCCGGTGGCAGGTGCAAGAGCGCATGTGCTGGTGGCGAGGTGCAAGAGGGCGGGTGCTGGTGGCATGGGGCAAGAGTGCAGGTGCTGGTGGCATGGTGCAAGAGGGCAGGTGCCAGTGGCAGGTGCACGAGCGAATGTGCTGGTGGCAAGGTGCAAGAGGGCGGGTGCTGGTGGCATGGTGCAAGAGGGTAGGTGCTGGCTCCAAGGTGCAATTGGGCAGGTGCCGGTGCAAGGTGTAAGAGGGCAGGTGCTGGTGGCATGGTGCAAGAGGGCAGGTGCCAGTGGCATGGTGCAAGAGGGCAGGTGTTGGTGGCATGGTGCAAGAGGGCAGGTGCTGGTTCCAAGCTGCAAGAGGGCAGGTGCAAGGGAAGAAGTAGCGTAACTACACACCTTAAATCCTGAGTACATATTGGGTATGGTCTTTAGAGCGGATTCCATCCTATCACGCTATTTGGTGTGCATCCTGTTGACATCCCAAAGCCAATGAGTGCCACCCCGACGATGCAGCTCACAATCGACTGCCCTTGCTGCAGCGGCCGGCAATGGACGATGGTTGGGATTCGTTGGCTGCTGCGATGGCATGCCAGCTCCATCACCCGGAGTCGGTGAGGTGTGCAGCCCACTTGCCTTGTGGCGCCGATGCCCATGTGGCTTCACACCATGGTGACCCGCGATTCTGGTCACCTCGCCTGTGACTCCCGCAAACGTTTTTTTATGCCTCATTTTCTTGCTATAGCTGCACGAATCTCGGGGGTTGGGTGATTTGCGTACGGCCACCACGCTTGGTATGGGCAGGTTCACGTGCAGGTGCATGCTTATGCGCTCCCTGTTTACTTGGTTTCGCATGACGCTTTTCCCTTGCGGCAGTTGCAGCTGCTGCTGCCACTGCCAGGTCCCCTGTGAAGTGTGTCTGTATTGGAGTGCCTGGAGGAGAGGTGCAGGCAGTCGTCTCAGCCAAAGGACGCTCATTCCTTGGTGGTGTCCCAACTGGTGAGAAACATGGGGGCCAAGGGAGGCAATCTAAGAGGGGGCAGCTTAGTGTGCAAGTCACAGCACGCCGCACAAAGCTCGGCAATATGATGCATATAATATACATTCTTACACACGAATCCCTTCAGGGTGTTAAAAAACAACGCTGCCAATCCTCCCCCCCCCCCCTTCCTCCCCCCCCCCCCCCCCCCCCCCCCTTCCTCCCCCCCCCCCCTTCCTCCCCCCCCCCCCTTCCTCCCCCCCTTTTCCTGCCCACCCCCCCAACACACCCCACCCTACCTCTCCTTCTCAACCCTCTCCGACCCACTCTAGCGTGTCTACCCTGTTCACTTACCTGCCGTCATCTCGTCCTCATCATCTCCTGTTGAGCCCATCTCGTCTTCTGATGCCATACCGTGCCCTTCGAGTTCACTTGTGAAGGACATGTAACCTGACTCCCTCCCATGGAAGCTCTCTGACGAATCTGCTGGTCCCGCACGCTCGGTGCGTACAGCGTGCCCGCTTGATGGTAACTCATAGACCTCGTAGTCACCCCACTTGGTGGAACGGCCGGCTCCTTGTCGTGGTGATCACCATGATGTGGACATGGTGCCGAACAGCCAACCGAGCCAGAGCCTCTCATCCAAAAGAGTTGCTAGCCTACGCAGTCTACACGGGAAAGTATGCGGGCTGCACCTATAAAGAGGGATAACGGGCTGCGCAATCTAACGAGCTAGCGTGATTGGCCGGAGACGGAAGTTAGACAGTTTATATCTGTGTCATAAACACCTACATAGGGACGAGCTTATCAAGAAAGCACGACTGATGTGTCTTTCAAGAAAGCACTAATATAGAGTTTGCAAATAAAAAGGGGATGTGTCATGCAAGAATGAGCAAAATCTGAGCCTATGAACGTAGTAGGGTGAGTGCCATTCCAGAAGGCACTAGAGGCGTGCCTTTAGAAACAGCAAGACTGGATTGCAATCCAAGAAAGCTACATATGCCCTGCTGGACAACGTTCACACTCCTGGTGCCAGGCCAGCCGAGTAGAGTCAGCTGATAATTATGAGGGGCAACTGTTTTGAGCATGTGAAGCCAGACCACGTCCATGTGACATGGAAGCACGTGCTGTGATATGCTCAACAAAGTGTATCATGTGCAGCCTGGTCACCTAGGATTGACATTAGGCAGTTGGGTAATGGTATCAAATTTCATCAAACAGGGGGTTATTCAAAAAGTACAATTTACATTCAAAAGGTCACACGTCGCAAGGCACCCTGCAACAAAAGGCAATGTGAAAGTTATGCAGCCTTGTTGATAGACCTAATACCATCTACGTGTTGGCATAACTTTCCTAAAGCCCGGAGGCTGATTCTTGGAAGGTGGAGTAAATTCATCATCCAATGAGTATGTCTCGAATCCTTTCGTCCAAAACGATTGCTGCTTGAGACACGGGAACTCGGTAGGGGCAGATATGCAATAAACTGCGTTCGGTTTGCCAAGAACAGGGTGTAGTGATTGTAGGGTCGGCTTTGCTTCCCATGGAGTGAGTAGGCCCAGCGCATGTGCAAGTGCATCTAAAGGGATGCCGTAACCATCCGGCCCCACAAGCCCATCTCTGTGAAAGGGAACAAGAAGTGGTCTCCGAGGTTAGTGAGTCCCTATGAAAAAGAACCTGCAAGAGAACACTAATCGTGCTTACAAGTAGGGGCACGGGCCTGGAACGTTGCTAGTCCGACGGTGTTCTTCTGCAGCGGGAAGATAGACCACGTCATCAGCTCCATTCTGATCATAATCACCACCTTCAACCTAAACAAAGAGGCACAACCGCTTCAGATGTGGAAGTAATATCTCTTCGAAGCAGCTGAATATGCAGGAGCTTACTTACCACATATCCCTCAGCATGGGCTAAGAGCAAGAGAAATTCACGAAAATCACCATCATACGGCGTCGGTTTTACGATATCGTCCCTGGTGGTTGCAGCGAAGTTGATGGACCGGTACTCCTTTATGATGGCCATGAATCGATCAGAATCGGTTTTTTCACTGCCCTCTAGTCCATAGTGTTAGAATATACCATGCTATGCTAGTTGTGTATATTGTGTTTACATCCCTTGTTGGGTGTACACCTGTGTTGGGGTGTCAATCCAACCCAATTGTGGTTGGAGCCCCCAAACACAAGGACCACAATTGTGGGGGCACCACAAGTGGGTTGGCTAAACCACTGGTGGTACACCACACTTGGACCACCTCCAACTGGTGGTCAACCACATTTGGAAGGATCCTCCCTCCCTTGTGATTGGTCCTAACCCCCCTTTCCCTTCCAACCTTCCCTTCCTAGCTCATCCCTCTCTTCCTATGTAATGCCTTTGCTTCATCAATAAACTGAACCTTTCTGTTTCTAACATGGTATAGAGCAATAATGGCTCACGCCAACTTTTAAATCCCGATCCTTCCCCACGCTTCCGCCCCGTCCCCTTCCGACGTGCACCTCATTGCCGTCCCCTCCATCGCCGCTGCTAGACTCCTAGCCGCCGCCTCTCAACTAGTTTTCTGTTGGGTGGATTTTCAAAAACCCCCAATGCGCCAAACGCCATAGCTCGCTCGATAGTTGACAGAATTGAGTGATTTGACTTGCAAAAGAACGCTCTTGGTGTCAGCTAAAACGTCGTAAAATTTCGAACTGTTTCATCGCTTGGATTGTCAGATATCGCTTTCCGAAGTTTGCACACTTTCCTGGATGTGATCACGAAGTGCTACTGAAATTTCTACCAAGTCCTATTTTCATCAGCTAACTGCCATCTTTCCCCATCTTTTGCCTCCTCACCTGCACCTGCTCATCGCCGCCTTACCACTGCTGCAGCCGTAGCAGCAGCAGCAGAAGCAGCAGCAGCACCAGAAGGAGCAGCAGACTCAGCAGCAGCAGCAGCAGCAGCAGTAGCAGCAGCAGCAGCAGCAGCTGAAGGAGCAGCAGCAGCAGCAGCAGCAACAGCGGCAGCAGCAGCAGTGGCAGCAGCAGCAGCGGCAGCAGCAGCAACAGCAACAGCAGCAGCAGCAGCAGCAGCAGCAGAAGAAGCAGCAGCAGCACCAGCAGCAGCAGCAGCAGCAGCAGCAGCAGCAGCAGTATCTACAGCCATCCCCATCCTCCCCTCCTCTTTGAGCCGCTGCGGGTCCACCCGCCGCCGCTCCCTCCCGGCCACCGCGGGTCCACCCGCCGTCGCCTTCCTCCCACTCCGTGTCACCAATGGCATCCTTTCCCCCTCCCGTCGACGTCTCGACCCTCGATCATCTCGTGCGCGCTGCCGACAACTCAGCAACCAACTGGTATTCCTTCGTCGGCAGCCTCCACCGCGTCCTCGGCAGTGCTTATGTCCTGCCGTTCCGCCTCCTGGACATCATGCTTGGTCTCCCAGAGGGCGACCTTGGGGACCCGCCGCCTCACCCTGGCGATCCCCCCCCTCTCATTCCCCATCCCGGCGAGGAACCTCCGCCCCCCATGGTACCCGTTGGCACCAGCACTCGCGCTGCCACCGCTGAAGTTGAGCAGCTCTTCCTTACTCAGCGTCGTGAGTTCCTCGTGCTCCATACTGATTACCTGATCGTGTTGGAGGAACACGAGCGGTCGGCAACCCTCCGCACCCAGCATGCCGCTACCGCCGCCGCTTATGCCGCTGACTCTGCGCGATTTGCTGAGCGTCGTCGCGCCTGGCTCGAGGCGGACAGCCGTGCTACTGGTGCCCTTCTCCTTGCCATCCCGTCTGCGCTCATGCGCAACTTCCAGGCACGTCGCATCGGCTCCCGCCAGATCTGGCTCGAGCTTGAGGCAATGTTCGAACGCACCGACTTCGATGCTGTCGGACCGCTCTTCAAGGAATACTTCAGCATCACGATCGAACATAGTGCTGGCGCCGTTGACTACACCAGCCGTCTCCTGGACCTTGCCTCCCGCCTTGAGGCTCGCCAGACTAATCTCCCCCCCAACCTTCAGATCTACCGTCTCCTCGAAGGCCTCTCCCCTCAATATGAAGTGCGCGTCATCGCCTTCACTGAGGCTCAGCCCCGCGCCTCCCTTGACACTGTGGTCCAATGGATCATTGACGCTGAGGCCCGCCTTCTCTCAACCCCCCCCTCCGGCCTGAACTCCACCGAGTCCCAAAACCCCCAGCTTGCAGTCACACAGCCGCGTCGTGGCGGGCGCCCACGTGGCGGCCGCACCAACCCTCAGGGAGGGGGTGGAAGTGGCGGTTGTGGGGGCAGCGGAGCCGGCGGCGGTGGTGGCGGGGTCGAAAGTGGCAGCAGTGGTGGTGGTGGAGGCAGTAGTGGCTCATCTGGTAGCCGTGGTGGCCGCCCTGGCACTCTCCCCCCATGTTCCTATCTTCGCCGTTTTGGTCCCAGGGCGGGTGAGCGCTGCACCCAAACCAACCATCCCCCCGCGACCTGCTTCAAGGCGTATGATGACGCCTGGTTCGAGCGCGGCAACACTGGCACACCCCTACGCTGGTCTGCCATGGATCCCCGCCCCTCTCTCCAGGATGTCAAAACTCTTCCGTCTTTCCTCCCCTCTCATCTTCAGCTCTCCTCCTCCTCCTCCTCTGTCGCTGACCCCATAACTCCCCAGGAGCTGCAGCAGTTTCGCCGCTTCCAGCAGCTGCAGCTGCTGCAGCAGCAGCAGCAGTGGGGCTCTGGTGGTCAGGCTGCAGCCGCAGCTGCAAGAGCCGCAGCCGCAGCATCTGCATGGCAGCAGCAGCAGCTTGGCTTTGGCACCGCCGCCATGGCTGCCACAGCCACACCAGGTCCTCCTGGCTTTCCCCTCTGGGGCTCTCCTTCCCCTAGTGCTCCCGCCTCCCACTCGAGCTTTCTAGGCGAGCTCATGCGTTCTTCCCCTGCTTCCACTTCCATGTATCCCTCTGTTTTTAATGCCAGTGATTTCCAGTACCCCGTGTCTTCAGCTCCCTCCTCGCTCACGATTGACTTTGTTCTCGATACTGGTGCCACTGAAACTGCCCTCAAAGACGCCGGCACCCTCACCTCCCTCCCTTTCCCCACCAACGTTCATGGTGCTGATTCCAGCTTCTCCATCCCTTGCACTCATCTCTCCACCCTCCCCTGCCCCCCCTTCCCCTCTGGAGTGGTCACTGGTCTCCACATTCCCTCCCTTCGTCATAACCTGCTCTCCATTCGTGAACTCCAACAGGCTGGCATCACTACCCTCTTCCCCGCCTCTGCCACCTACTGTGACCTCCTCCACGGCCCCACTCACCGCCTCCTTCATCGCCTCCCACTTTGCCCTCGCTCTCGTTAGTACATCCTCCGCACACCCCGCCCCTCCTCATACCACGTGACCACTCGTGCAGGCACCTCCACTCTCCCCCCTCCCCTCCCTCTAGAGCCACCTTCCTCCAACTCCACCTCCTCCCCATGCTCTTGTCGCGCACTGTCCCACCCCGCTGTTCTCATCCACCACCGCCTTGGTCATATGAACTTTCCCACACTTCGTAAAGCCGTCTCCTCCCGCTTGCTTGACGGTCTTCCCCCCACTCTTCCTCCCCTCCCGTCCTCTTCCGCTCCCCCATGCGCCACATGCATTCATGGAAAGCTCAAACAACAGCCTCACCTCAGTCATCCTTCCTTTGCTGCTGCCCCCCTTGACCTCGTCCACATGGACCTCTGGGGCCCTAACCCTTCCCCTTCCCGCCAAGGGCACCGGTACATGCTTGTCCTAGTCGACGACCACAGCAGGTACTCCTCGGTGTTCCTCCTCCACACGAAGGCCGAGGCCCCTGCTGTCATCGTTACCTGGGCCGAGCAGTGCCGAGTCCACTTTGGTCGCCCCATCCGCCGCCTCCATTCCGACGGCGGTGGTGAGTTTCTCAACCGCACCCTCTCCTCCTACTGCTCAACCCATGGCATCCTGCAGACTCATACCCTTCCCCACTCCCCTCAGCAGAACGGTGTTGCTGAGAGTCGCATTCGTGAGATCACCAAGACGGCCCGCTGCCTCCTCACTCATGCCTCCACGCCCCCTTCTCTTTGGGGCTATGCCCTTGTCCATGCTGCTCTCCTTACTAATCTTTACCCACATCCTCAACGCCAGTCTGTCACTCCCACTGAGCTCTGGGCTAGCACCAAGCCAGATGCTGCCATTCTCCGTATCTGGGGTTGCAAGGCATATGTCCTCATCCCCCCACCTGACCGCTCTCGGCAGGCAGGAAAGCTCGCCTCCAAGGTCATTGAGTGTGTCTACCTTGGCCACGCTCGCTCTGCCCCTGGTTATCTCTTCCTTCACCCGTCCTCAGGCCGCCTCCTACAGAGCCGTGACGTGGTGTTCGATGAGAGCATCCCGTTCTATCATTCTGTTCCGCCTTCCGACCCCCTTCCTCCTCTCTCCCGCCCCCTCACCTGGGCTGATGCTGTCATTCCCCCACTCCTTCCCCAGGCTCCCCTCCTTCCTCCAAATCCTGCTCCTCCCCCTCCTCCTTCCTTAGGTGACATTTACGACCCAGCTGTCCCTGACTCCCCTGCTCACTCTGCCTCATCGCACCAGCACCACCACCAGCAGCAGCAGCAGCAGCAGCAGCAACAGCAGCAGCAGCAGGTGCAGCAGCAGCAGCGGATGGAGCAGCAGCAGCAGCAGCAGCAGCAGCAGGAGGTGCAGCAGCGGATGGAGCAGCAGCAGCAGCAGCAGCAGCAACCGCAGGCAGTGCAACAACAGCAGCCGCAGCAGGAGGTGCAGCAGCAGCACCAGCAGCAGCCACAGCAGCAGCAGCAGCAGCAGCAGCAGCAGCCACTGCAGCAACCTCATCGGCATCGCCGCACCACCTCTCCGTTCATCCTCCCACGCATCCACACTCGCTCTCACGGCCCACTCATAGGCCATCCATGGGGTTGGCCAACACCACCCCCACCCTCCCTTCCCTTCATTGAGGACTCCCATGAGGAGCTCATTGGCGTTCAGCAACAAACACCTTCCCTCACGCCTCTCTACCCGGGCTTCCTTGGCCTCCTCATCCTTGGCATCGCTACCGCTCCCACCAGATTCACTCCGTCCAACTTCCTTGAGGCCATCACCTGCCCCGATGCTGCCAAGTGGATCCAGGCTATCTTTGCTGAATGCGAGGCCTTCATCCGCAATGCCTCATTCGTTAACATTGTCCCCTCTCCTGACGACGTCATTGTTGAAGGCCTGTGGGTTTTCCGAGTGAAGCAGCTGCCGGGTGAGGAGCCGGTCTACAAGGCCCGGTATTGTGCCAAGGGCTTCACCCAAACCCATGGCATCGACTGCTGGGAGACATTCTCTCCCACTGCCAAGCTCCCAACTCTCCGTGCCATCCTCGACTATGCTGTTCGCATTGGCATGGAGATTGCCTCCATGGATGTCTCCAACGCCTTCCTGCAAGGCGAGCTCCAGGAGCGGGTCCTCTTGCGGCGGCCTCCAGGCTTTCATGCAGCCTTCCCTGCCAACACAGTCTGGGAGCTCCGCCGCCCGGTTTATGGCCTCAAGCAGGCTCCTCGCGAGTGGCACAACAAGCTGGCCGCCACTCTGCAGTCCTTGGGGTTCCATGCCTCTCAGTCTGATGCCAGCCTTTTCCTTCGCTCCTCTCCCACCCGCTTCTTCATCCTGGTGTATGTCGACGACATGATCCTGTTCGCTGACGATGCTGCCGCCATGCAGCAAGTGAAGGACGCCCTGCATGCGCGCCTCAAGTGCAAGGACCTGGGTGAGCTCAAGCACTATCTGGGCATGACCATCACCCGGGACCGCACATCGCGCACCATTACCCTCTCTCAGTCCTTCTACATCGACCAAGTCTTGCAGCGGTTCGACATGGCGCAGGCCAAGCTGGTTACCACTCCCCTGCAGACCGACCACCAGCTTGCCCCTCCTCCTGCTCCCTCCTCCTCTGACCATCCTTACGCTGAGCTCGTCGGCTCGCTGATGTACGCTATGATGTGCACCCGCCCCGACCTTGCCTACCCCATCAGTGTTCTTGCTCGATTCGTCGGTACCGGTCGCCACACTGATGAGCACTGGGCTGCAGCGAAGCGGGTCCTCCGCTACCTCCGTGGTACCAAGGACTATGTCCTCACCCTCGGAGGCTCTTCTCCTCCCCTCCTCTCTGGCTTCAGTGACTCCTCCTGGGCTGACTCCCAGCCGGATCGCGGTTCCTCTCAAGGCTACGGCTTCACCCTTGGCAGCGGCCTCATTAGCTGGCGCTCCACTCGCTCCTCCTCCATCGCCCTCTCATCCTACGAGGCTGAGCTCTATGCTTGCACCATGGCCGCTCAGGAGGCTCGCTGGCTCACCTTCTTCCTTGCTGAGATCGGTGCTCCTCAGCGCTGTCCCACCCTCTGGTGCGACAACGCCAGCACCATCCATCTCACAAAGGACCCTGTCTTCCATGGCCGCTCCAAGCACATTGAACTCCGCTACTTCTTCGTTCGAGAGTTGGTCCAGCAAGGTCACTTGGTGGTCCGCAAGATCGCTGCAGAGGCCAACTTGGCCGACATCTTCACCAAGGCCCTCCCGAAGACCGCGCACTCTGCCCTCCTCCGCCTTCTCGGCCTTGGGCCCCGCCCCCCTTCCTGATTCTGGGGTTGTACCCTACATATACACTAGCTTTGCATGCTATGGGGTTGTGTTAGAATATACCATGCTATGCTAGTTGTGTATATTGTGTTTACATCCCTAGTTGGGTGTACACCTATGTTGGGGTGTCAATCCAACCCAATTGTGGTTGGAGCCCCCAAACACAAGGACCACAATTGTGGGGGCACCACAAGTGGGTTGGCTAAACCACTGGTGGTACACCACACTTGGACCACCTCCAACTGGTGGTCAACCACATTTGGAAGGATCCTCCCTCCCTTGTGATTGGTCCTAACCCCCCTTTCCCTTCCAACCTTCCCTTCCTAGCTCATCCCTCTCTTCCTATGTAATGCCTTTGCTTCATCAATAAACTGAACCTTTCTGTTTCTAACAGTATGTGTTGCTAAGCCCCCACACGCGCAGGAAGCAAGGTGGCAAGCTTGGTCCCAAAACCCAGACCTGCATGTACCTGGGGCACAACTCCGACTCCCCAGACTACTTATCTCCTGCTCCATGGCACCTATAAACTGAGAGGCCCAAGGTCCCGAGGTCGATTCAGCGTAATTGCAAGGGGTCAGGATGTCGAAGGCGTCTGAGTCACCCTCAGGGACGAGCAGCATGGAACAGAGGTGTGGAGCAGCCTCCGATAAGAAAGCAAGCTGGTACTGCCTGTCCTCTATGACATCACTGCCAAGGGCAGAAGCACCCTCGATGGACGGAGGAAAGACAGGGTCAGAGACCTGAGTGGTGGTGTAGTCAAGGCGGCGGGTAGAAGCAATGTCAGCGACAAGAGCGTCAAGACTCGAGAGAGGAACAGACGGGTTGGTAGCGAGGGAGGCAATGACCCGAGGAACAAGAGGACGAGCAGCATGAAGGTAGTCAGACAGAGGGGAAGGCGCGACAGCGAGCGACGATGGAGGAGAGGAAGGCAGGAGGGGAGGACGAGACGCGTAGAAACGAAGCAACATAGGGTGAGAACGCGGAACAGGAGAGACAGGACGAGCACGAGAGGGACGGCGAGACCAGACGTGAGACTGAGGCGTCGAGTCAGGAGACAGAAGAGGAGTAACAGGAGGGGAACGATGTGGGAAATAGGTCGGGGACGAGTCTAGCGGAGGAAACACAAGGCCGTAGATAGGAAGAAGAGGAAGTGGCGGGGGAGGCGCAGGCGAGCGGTTAGGGGAGGGAAGGCTGAGCAGGCGAAGGGCAGACACCGGCGGCGACTGTTGCTACTGCTGCTCGACGCCAACACCTGGACCGCCAACTGCACCGCGGCTACCTCCGGAACACTCCACTCATGCACCCCCAGGACGAACACCCCTACAGAGAGAACCCTCTCCAGCACCGGTGCCACCCCCGAGCCCTCCGGGACAAGCCATGACAGGAACCCCAAGACTAGCAGCCTCCTCAACGCCAGCACCCCCATAGTCCACGAACGGCTGCTGCTCTTGCGACAGCGGCGACTGTTGCGGCGGCGGCTGCTGTGGTGGCGATGGCTGCTGCAGCGGCGGTGACTGCGACGGCGGAGGAGGAGACATCGTGGGAGAGAAGGAGGCGAGAACTGCGCCGCAAGGCCACAAGAGTCAGCCTTCTCCTCGACCGGGACAACCGACGGGAGGGGAGCGACGTGAGACACACCAGACGGTGCAAGATGGGGAGGATGGTGAGCAGGGGCTACCGTAGGAGTGGGGACCAGAAACAAGGGAGGGGAAATTGGGAGACCTCGGTGGGGAAAGCGGTGGTAAAAGGAGGCAGACTCGTTGAAACTGGCTTCATGGGAGTGAAAGAAGCGGTGAGACGGCGGGTGGTAAAAGTGCCAGTCAGACGAGTCCAGGGGGAAACCAGGAAGACACAAGGGACAGTGGGGGCAGTGAGCTTGTCCGTGCCAATAGCACAAACGTGAGTGAGGTAACCCTAGACCTGGAACGCGGACGCGTCACCAGGGAATCCGGTCCAAAGAAGGGTCGGCGAAACCTGCGGCGGCTGAGAGCGGGCCACAGGTTAAGCTGGTGAGCAGCGTAGCGAACGGCGAACGGCCACAGAAAATGGGGTGCACCGGCATGAATCATGGAGGTACGAGCCTCCTCCATGACCAAACCGATGCGTCGCTCAGCAACCCCATTCTGCTGCGGGGAGTCCGGTAGGGTGTACGACTGGGGGATGCCCTCCGGAGGACAAAACAGTCCAAGCCGACCAGAGGCGAACTCGCCGCCACGGTAGGAGTGGAAACACAGCAAAGGGAGATCGCGGTGGAGGCATGCAGCTACGACCCACGGGATAAGAACGTCAGGCATGTCGGCCTTCCGGTCCAAGGGAAACACTGTGGTGTAGCGCGTGTAGTCGTTAACGAGCACTAGAAAGTAGCGCTCGCGACACGGTCCTGGGACGGGGACTAGGCCCCAGATGTCCAGGTGTAGGGTCGGGAGGGGTGCGGTGGCAGGACTAAGCGAGGAGGAGTGAGGAGCACGGCCCAGCCGGCCCTCGACGCAGGGCGTGCATGGTGGCATAGGCAAGGGAGGGAGGGCAGGAAGCGACGCAGGGAGACCTAGGACGAGAACGTGCTGGGACATGTGACCCAGACGCGGGAGTGCGGGGTGACCTAGGCTGTGGTGCCACAGAAGCGTCGAGTGAGTGAGCGACTGACATGAGCACGTAGCGGTGACATGGGTAGATGAAGGACCCAGGGAGGACGGTCCACCCGGGGGGAAAGTAGTGTCCAGCGTAAATAGGCCAGATACCGGGTCCTGGGGGAACGACCCAAGGGGAGATCCTGAGGCAGCCTCGGTACAGACGACGTACCGCTCGTGACTCTGAAACGTAGTGGTGACGTCGAGTACCTGAAGACAGCCGACACCAACTAAGTTCAGGGAGAAAGAGGGGATGTGCAGACCTATGAGGGAAACCAAAGGGACCGCTGGACAGGGAAGGGTAGTGTAGCTGCGAGCAACTACAGGACCAGAGGAGGGGTCAGCAAGGGCGAGAGCAGCAGGCGCGGCAAGCGGCGTTAGCGCAGCGTGGTCGCGGAAGGAGCAGGCAGACGCACCGGAGTCAAGTGTGAAGGACAGCGGAGCGGTAGCGGCGGACGAATGAGGAGCGAGGGTAGAGCCTGGGCTAGACAAAGCAAACGGTCCTACACCTGACGCAGCAGGGGTGTGTGTACTACACACAGGTGCTATGTCTAAGCTAGAGAACATAGGGTAATAAGATCCGGACACACTAGAAGCGACAGCATACAAAGAATGCAAGGCAGAACTAATATGATCCATGTCTATGTCAAAAACAGGCACACCGTGGCGGAGCAGATTGTGCCAGTCAGGGAGGTCCAGGGCCGGGCCGAAGCGGCGACGGAAGAGTTCGTCGAGGCGGCGGAAGCAGCGGGCGGTCGGGTGCGGGTGGCAGCACACAGTCCCACGGAGGTGCCAGGTCTGGAGGTGGTACTGGCAGCCCATAGCACCGAAGCCGCCAGTAGACGCCGAGTTGCGAGGACCGCCACCGTAGCCACCACCTCCAGGGGCTCTTGGCCACCCCGGTGGGAGGCGAGCCCACGGCTTCTACTGCTGCTGCGACTGCTGCTGCTGTGGCTGGTGCTGCAACGACTGCTGCTGCGGCTACTGCTGCTCCTGGACACCTGCCCCAGCTGTCAGAGAATCGAATGAGGTTTGCTCAATCTTCCATTATCAATTAGTACAAGGTGCTTTTATAATTCCATTGTACATCAGGTAACCAGGTTTATCCTATCCAAAGGGAACCAAATGAGATGAGATAAAGACCAAATGAATCACGATAAAAAGAGGAAAAAATAGAAAGGAAATATGGAACGGGGAAATTGGTGTAATGGGGTCGTACTCTCACACTTCCCCCCCTCAAAACTGGGTGGTAAAAGTAACACCCTGCTTGACAAGGTAGTCGCAAAGAGGACGACGAGCGTTACCCATGTCGAGCTCAGAGACGCAGCCTCTGAAGGATCAGATCCCTTCCAGTAAAAAAGAAGCTCCACAGTGCCATTCTGGAGACAACGGTAT